TCTCCACGTTCACGTCGATCGCGGCGTAAGGAGTGGCAAGAAGGTTGAGTTCCGTGGCGAGGGTGATCAGGCGCCTGGCATTCAGGCCGGTGATGTCGTCTTCGAGATCGAGCAGAAGCCCCACGCGCGCTTCACTCGCAAGGAGGACAATCTACTGTACAAGGCTGAGATCGAGCTTGTGACAGCTCTGGCTGGTGGCACTATCTTCGTCGAGCACCTCGACGACAGGTGGCTGAGCATCGACATTCTGCCTGGCGAGGCTATTTGCCCTGGTATGTTTCCCGTCTAGATCTTTCCGCAAGAGCTTTTCGCTGACTTGGTGTGATTACAGATGCTGTCAAGATGGTCCGCGGCCAGGGTATGCCCTCTGAGAGGCACCACGACCACGGCAACATGTACATCCAATTCAGCGTCAAGTTCCCCGAGAAGAACTGGATGCAGGATGAGGCTTCATTCGAGGCCCTTCGCAAGCTGCTTCCCGCGCCCAGCCTCCAGACTGTCCCGCCTCCCGATGGCATGACCGAGCCCGCAGATCTCGAGGACATCGAGACGCAATCCCAGGCTCGCGTCTTTGGCGGCGGCGCTGGCGGCGGTTCCATGGAGGAGGATGACGAGGACGGTCACCCCCACGGTGAGCGCGTTCAGTGCGCTTCTCAGTAAACTGTGTCGTTTCCCCAGGCGATTTGTTTATAAGAGAGAGAGGGGGGGGGACGTCTTCGGCTTGCGAGGACACACGACAGTGAGCGCAGCTTGTTTCCGAGACGACTTGCACGCTGCGGGCGATGTTGCATGATACCTTGATCGCGGAGCGTTGGGGAACGGGGTAGAGAAGCTGCGACGATTGCATTGCATGAACAGGGTTCAGGACGTGCCCAGGCGATACCGATGCGGCTTGGAAGGCCCTGAAATTTCTTGTGCGCTTTCGCGCGTATACTTAGGAGACGGGGCAGCAATCCGCGAGAGGCTTGCGGTGTTGTCCCGTCTTGTGTCGCCGGGCGCGCACAACGCCCGATGTCTTAATGATTCGGCTGTTTTCGCTCGACATCAGTCGACACATGGTTCGGGAGCGGCGTTTAGAGGCATAGATGATACGAAATGAACAGTGAATTCTCTCCAGGAAGAAAATGATACCTCCGCCAGGTTTCTTGAATCTTAGTACTTTTGCTTGGTGACACCTGGATGGCTCACGCGAGTCGTCGCGTTCCTGGATCGACCTACTAGCGCACCTCGGCATCACTCGTGGGCGCCGATGCAACCCCCAATTCAACCCCCTCGCTCGCGCTGTCATATGAGCTAAGGGCGGTCCTTCAGCAGGAACATCCTGCCGCAAACAGTCGTCACGTGAATTGACCAAGGGCAGGCAGGTTTGCTGGAAATCAAGTCAGCTTGCTATCTGAGCTATGCCCCCGTGCCCTTGTCCTCCTGTCCGTTCTTCCCTTCTTCAGTAGCTTCATCGCCGTCAAAGTCGTGCTTGCGCAAGTCTTCCACGCTGTAGAGAAGCTTTCGCACCTCAGCCTGGGATACTTCGGCCTCGGCAGCAGTCACCTCGTCGTCCTGCAGCTTGAAGGACTCGGCGGTGACTGAGCCGCCTGCCAATGAGAGAGAGAGTATCTCAACAGGCTCCGTGGACTCGCCGGGATCCAGGGCGACGATGGCGCGGGCTGGCACGCCATCGTGCCCAGGGATGTGAGCGATGTGAAGCGGGTTGCCGTTTGTGGGGATGAGACTGTGGTACTTGAAGATGGACTCGGAGTCCGTCTGGAAGATGATGATCGCGGGAACTCTGCCATGCCTCGGTTAGCGTGTTGCGCTTGTGAATCAGAGGCAGAAGAGCTTTGGACGACGTACCCTTCACACGTGATGAAGATCAAAGATGAAGGAGTGTTCTCTCCGGCAAGAGTCACAGGAACAGAGGTCAGCTGTGAGACGGCCAGCTTGGTCGGCGCTTCACCTGCCACGGCCTGCGCGACGTACGGCAGCAGGTCGAACTTGGCCAGAAGCTCAGAGGCCTCCCAGTCCCAAGCACAGAGTTCATTGTCGCCACCTCCTGAAATGAGCACGTTCGGGCGGGTTGGCGGTATCGTCAAGGCGCTGACAAAGTGCGTGTGGCCGAGACAGTATCCCTCAATGACGTGCGCCTGTGGCACGTACCTGGACAAGCGGATATGTTCGTCGCGGTCTGCGGTGACGATGTACCTTCGCTCGCCCTTCTGCGCCAGGATCATGGCCGTCAAGAGCGAGACGTGTCCGATGATGAGGCTATGGTCAAACTTGACCTTCTCGGCTTGGTGAGCCTCGTTCAGCGCGTGCGCCTTGGCTGCATGGCTCTGCTGCTGCTGGAGGGCTTCAAGGTTGCGACGGGAGTGGACGGTCAGGTTGGTGCCTTGGGGTTTCCATTCTTTCGAGGACTCTGGGACTGGGGTTGTGGATGCGGGTTGGGGCTCTTCAGTCGCAGCGGACGGCACACCGAGCAGAGGAAGCGTGTAAACGTCGCCAAACTTGTCAGCGCTGAGAATGAGCTTGTCGTCCGGGCTGATGAGCGCCGTGCAGGGGCGCTTGGGCATAGGCCTGTCGCGGGGTCAGTGCTGGATATCATGACGTGCGAGAAAGGGGGGCAAGCCAACCGTTGTGAGAACAGAGTGAGGACGCCACGGCCGTCATGTTCGAACGTCCATATTGTCTTGTCGTGTCCAGATACAGCAACAAGGTGACTGCCACTGCTGGTCACTAGCAGGTGAGAAATGAGTGGCTGCTCAACGGTCCTTCCGTAGGTGCCCCTGACATTGGGTCCTCCCTGGCGATCTTGCCTCTCCTTTTGCTTCTGCTTCCGATTCTTGAAGCCACTGCCTTTCTTCTGGTCCTCGGCCAACGGCTCGTCGACATCCATGGCCCCTTCGTCCTTGTCTGGTTGTACATCCTGCGCCTCCTGAAGCCTCTGCCTCTTGGCCGGCGGTCCATCCTGCACCTCAGCCTCAGCCGTATCCTTTAATGTTGACGTATCACCTGTGACCTCGGGAGCTGATGCCGGACCATCGCCTTCTTGCGTGTCGGGACCAGACTTGGAGGCATCTGCTCCAGCGCTTTTCTCAACATCAGGATGTTGCCATGTTGCGAGGTAAGTGTTGTCCTTGAGGTTGAACGAATGAACCTTGCCGCCGCGCGCAGCAAAAAGAATGTTGCCCGAGGGTTGGAGAAAACTGTAAGGGAGCTTCATCTTCTGGGCGCCAGGAGAAGTGACCACCAAAGAAATGCCAAAGATATCTGAGAGCGTCACTGAAGATCTCACTCAACTTTGATCGAGTGGGATGAACATGAGAGCCACCCCACTAAGAAAAAAAGATACTTTGGGCTTGTACCTGTGGTGGGTCCACCCCCTGTCAACGCCAAGATTTCCACACGCGTTGCCCAAAGCTGACTAGTCCTCGCTTGCCCTAAGCGGGCTGACCACACTTCGACCATGTCGCAAATCCAGTTGGGCGAGAAAACTTCCAGAGCTTCTTTTGCTCCGTCAACTCTGTACTATCCATCATCGCCGGATACCCCCCCAACTCACATCACATACCATTTGCCCTGAAACATCCTGCCTTCAAAACAAAAGAAGATATGGGGGGCAAATCTGCTAACAAGGCCGGCTACTTCGACAAGCTGAAGGGCTTGCTCGAGGAGTACAACTCCATCTTCATCGTCACCGTCGACAAGTACGTTCCAGCCACGTCTTTTTTCTTTCTTTCTGCGATGCTGTCTCGATTGCTTCCATCGAAACGCGTGGCTAACCGCTCTCCAGTGTCTCCTCCCAGCAGATGCACCAGGTGCGTCACTCGCTCCGTGGCGATGCCGTTGTCCTCATGGGCAAGAACACCATGGTTCGTCGCGCCCTGAAGACCTTCATTGCCGACTCCCCCGAGTACGAGCGCCTTCTGCCCCACGTCAAGGGCAACGTTGGTTTCGTCTTCACCAACGGTGACCTCAAGGACATCCGTGACAAGGTCCTCGCCAACAAGGTCGCTGCCCCTGCTCGTGCCGGTGCCGTCGCCCCCTCCGACGTCTGGATTCCCGCCGGCAACACCGGTATGGAGCCCGGCAAGACCTCCTTCTTCCAGGCTCTTGGTGTCCCCACCAAGATTGCCCGTGGTACCATTGAAATCACCACGGACCTGAAGCTCGTCGAGGCCAACAGCAAGGTCGGTGCCTCCGAGGCGTCGCTTCTCAACCTGCTTAACATCTCTCCCTTCACCTACGGTCTCGGCATTGCCCAGGTCTACGACCAGGGACAGACCTTCCCCGCCGACGTCCTCGACATCGGTGAGGAGCAGCTACTCAAGACCTTCGCCGGTGCCATCACCGCCATTGCCGCCATCTCCCTGGCCATCAACTTCCCCACCCTGCCCTCGGTCATCCACTCTCTTGTCAACTCGTACAAGAAGGTCCTCGCCGTCGCCATCGAGACCGAGATCTCTTGGCCCGAGATCGAGTCCCTCAAGGACCGCATCGCCAACCCCGACGCGTACGCCGCCGCTGCCCCCGCTGCCGGCTCCGGCGCCGCCGAGACCAAGGCCGAGGAGAAGGCCGAGGAGAAGGAGGAGGAGGAGTCCGACGAGGATGACGGTGGCTTCGGTGGTCTCTTGTATGCAACCCCCGCCCCCAACGCGTACGACGACGTGATCATGCTAACCTGTCTCGCAGCGACTAAATGTGACGACATGATTGATGTTGGTGCGGCTATACCCGGGCGACGGTCAGGCTTACGACGTTATGTGGACCTCGGACACGACTTCATAGAGAGGCTGCGCGCTCAATTAAGCCTACCGCATTTGATGATGTGAGAAATGCGAAGCTCCACGAAGATTTTGGTGACTATGTATGTGCGTTTGCCAACGCGGTACATTTGTCTGTTGTCAAAAGGTTAGTTCGCCCTCTTTCTTTATTTTCTCGCAATACCACCGCTTCAACAGCGCCGCCTCCCGAAGATTATACACAGATACAGAGCTTTTTAACCCTGATCTACTTGATGACTCTTATCCCAACAACAACAACATTGTATGAGGGATGGCCTCTTTCTGCCTTTTATTATTCTGAATGCTTTTTATTGGTATCAACGAGGCTAACGATTATTCAAGATGCAGGCTAGAATATCCATTGAATGACCTCTTATCCTATGCTTTTCGTGCCAACGCCCTGCGCTCCGTCATGTCCTGTAACGCAGTATTCTGTTCTTACAACTTCGTAGTTCTGTCGCCCGATACCTCACCCAAGACATCACCCGCGACTTGAATCGCTGATGCGGGCAGCCCAGCAAGCCGCGCAACCTTGAGCGCATGGCTCTGCCGGTTCACTCCCTTCCGTAGCTTGTGCACGTAGACGAACCCCCCCGAGTCATCCTCCTCGACGTCAGTGCAGTACGTCTCCACACGACCTGCGTCGCGCCCATCCCCCTCTCCCCTACCACAGAGGCCCCGCGCCGCCGCAAGGTCCGCCACGGCGTGAAAGTGCGTCGCGAACAGCGCGCGGCACCGGTTCACCGTGACGAGGTGTTGCAGGCTCGCAAAGGCCACGGCGGCTCCATCCTCGGGCGTCGTGCCGCGGCCAATCTCGTCCATGATGACGAGGGACCTCGGCGTCGCGGCGCGCAGAATGTGCGCCGTCTCGAGCATCTCGACCATGAAGGTGCTCTGGTCGCGGTAGAGGTTGTCGGCGGAGCCGACGCGGCTGAAGAGGGCGTCGACGAGGCCGAGCTCGGCGTGCGCGGCGGGCACGTAGCAGCCGGTCTGGGCGAGGACGGTGATGAGGGCGTTCTGGCGGAGAAAGGTGCTCTTGCCGGCCATATTGGGCCCCGTGATGAGCCAGAGCGGGGCGTGGGCGGGCGCGGGGCCGAGGAGGCAATCGTTCCGGACGAAGGAGCGGCCGCGCTCGGTGAGGCCGCCCTCGACGGTGGGGTGGCGGCCCCCGAGGATCGTCGTCGTCGTGGAGTGATTGAGGCGGGGCCGGGTGAGGCCTTGGTCGCGTGCGAGCAGGGCGAGGGATGTGGCAATGTCCAGCTCGTCGAGGACCGCGGGTTGCGGCGGAGCTTGACGAGATTGAGGATGACACGCTCGCGGAGGGCTTGGAAAACACGCTGCTCCTCGGAACGGATGGCAAGTCTCGCAGAGTCGAGGCGCTGGCCCAGCGTTGTCCACTCGGGGAGGTGGAACGACGCGTCGAGCGGCTGGAAT